TTAATTCTGAGCAAATGGCTTCATTAATTGGGGATGCTGGGAACACAGTAAGACAAAATTTTTTTCTTCACTTGTCTTCCTGTGTGTAATCATAACTACAGAAACTATAACCAAAAGATGGATAGAGTTATGTCTATGCTAGAATTGTGCCAAGTGTAAAAATATCGTGAATTTCATCTCCAGGCAATAAGAAATGCTCGAACCATGAAGAAACTGAACAACATAAGTAACGTCTGAATTCGAGCTTGAGACCCTTTTACCTAAGAACTCACTATATTCGGCCAGGCCATCCATGAGGAAATATGATTTTTTATTTTTTATTTTTATTTGTTCAATTCTTTCGATGGATGAAATTTTGTAGCTTGTAATAGGGAGCTTCAAGCATATTGTTTTGTATTGGTGGAGCTTATGGCCATGGAAAACAATTGAGACAAAGAGCTGATGTTTCGATCCGGTTGTCGTCTTTGGTCTTAAACCATGAAGTTGCCCTGGTTGTGCTGTCTGAGCAGCTCTACAGGTAAATAGTTAATCAATCAATCTCCATCAGTTACTCTTTTAAATTAATTGGTTTTCTCTTTATGACTTGATTTGCAGAGCTTGGACCATCCTAAAAGGCCAGAAGTATCACCACTAGCAAACTCAAATTTGTGGCTCTTCCAATCTTCAAGAAAGTTTAATTATTAATTATTTCAAATAACATTAATTTTTGGGTGAAGAATAGAATTTGTGTCAAACTGTTGTACATATATCCGATGTAACTAAGATTTCTTACGTAGACTAGGTTTGGTAGACAAATAAGTTAGAATATAACTTATTTGGTTAGCTGATTTTTTATTATTTGGTTAAATGGGGTTCATTTGAAAAATTTTATTTGTGACAACATTTGATTATGCTAGACTTCCATTAGAATATTGAGTATGTAATTGAATTTTTGAACTTTACAATTTAGTCTATATACTGGATTTTTAAATAAATTGTATTAAGTGTAAAAATTTATTATTAAATTTTATTTATTTGTGTGATATATTTAATGGCACGACATGTAAATGACAAGTCATATAACAAGAAGGGCTTCGATTTAAAATCCAAGTACATGAGAAAAACCATCTTTATACTTCTAAAAGGGAAAATAACAAATCAATTAAAAATGAATTTGTTATATGTATAAGAGAATAGTAATAATTCATAAATTATTGTTAATGGAATGTTATTTTCATATAAAACACTACTATAAAGCATTATAATTGATATTTTTACTTTATAAATGCAACATTCATATGTTAATATTATTTGTTGTGCAATTCATGTAACTTATATTAAATAATTTAAGATTATTTTCATACTTTTGACTTTTTTATACATGCATTTGCGTCTAGTAGATTAATAGAATTGAGTACTTCATGTTTGAACTAGAGTTCATTTAATAAAACGATCTAGCACGACTCAGCTCGTTTAAGAAACAAACAAAAATATGAGCTCGAGTTCGTCTCGTACAAACTCATTTCGACTCATTTAATAAACCTTAAAACTCATGCCAAAACTTAAAGTACTCTAACCGAGTTGATTGCAAACACACTCGACTCGACTTGTTTGATAGACAAACTCAATTAATTGTTGAAGCTTGACTCGTTTAAATATATAAGTTAGTCGAGCTCGATCCTTTTCAAGTCAAACCAAATAATGTGAACTCAGTTCAAAGAACAGTTGCACGTTTTGCAGCCCACGGTGAAACACATTTCTGGCTACGCGTAGGCCGACTCATCATACAATGTCCTTAAAATTCATATTTCTGTTATCAAATGTCATATTCTTTATTTATGTTGTTTTTTAAAGAATGATATTATATTATATAATTCAAGTATGCATATTTGTGAAAAGAGTATGTCAGCTTAAAAAATCCACTCTTCCAGTAGTTCTTGTTACCATAAGGTTCATGAGCCTCTTGACAGTGTCGGCCCTGGGGCAGGGCAACTAGGGCAACCGCGCAGGGCCCACAATTAGGGACACCAAATGGTTATACATATGCATATTTTATATGTATTGTAATTAAAAAATATTTTGAATGTAGAATCCTCCCTATATATAATTCCCGAATGCGCTGAGCCTACGTGGCTGCTTCTGGTGCTTCGGAATCCTATTTGGCGAAGAATCATGCTTCGTAATTAGGTTTGAATAAATAATATTGATATATTAATAATTAATAATCTAGGTTCGGGTATTCCATAAATATTATTTAGCCAACTTAGGTATTTTAATATCATTTTTACTAATATAACCCTTTAATTATTTATAATTTTACATAGTGAGGCACTAAGTGACTAATATATCCCCGAATTTTGATTTGTTTCCTTCAATAAGCTATTAAATTATAAATGTATTTTAAAAGTTGATAACTTTTGTATTTCTTATCGGTTTTACATATATAATATATCAAATTAATCATCTTTTGATGATCTTCGATTTGACATCCATATTGTATATATGAAATAAATAAATTTCCTATATATAATTCTCGAATGCACTGAGCCTACGTGGCTGCTTCTGGTGCTTCGGAATCCTATTTGACGAATAATCATGCTTCGTAATTAGTTTTGCATAAATATATTAATATATTAATAATTAATAATCTAGGTTTGGGTATTCCATAAATATTATTTAGCTAATTTAGCTATTTTAATATCACTTTTACTAATATAACCCTTTAATTATTTATAATTTTACATAGTGAGGCACTAAGTGACTAATATATGCCTGAATTTTGATTTGTTTCCTTCAATAAGCTATTGAATTATAAATGTATTTTAAAAGTTGATAACTTTTTGTATTTCTTATCGGTTTTACATATATAATATATCAAATTAATCATCTTTTGATTATCTTCGGTTTGACATCCATATTGTATATATGAAATAAATAAATTATATTTATCTTTATACTAATAAAAAATAATAATATTTATTAAAATTCATTAAAAAAATAAAATTATTTCTCAATTGATATATTTATATGTAATGTAGTTATATATTATAAGTTAAAAAAATTAGTATAATATAACACAAGTAAGTTGCACAAATAAAAAGTGTCATAATAAATATATAATAGTATATATATTCTTGTAAAAGGTATTTAAATTTTCAAACTACTTTTTCTCATTAATTTTAGATTTTAAGAAAAAAAAATTAGCAAGCACCTGTGTAATACACGGGTGTTGTACTATATATATTAATACAGAACGCGTTGAGCCTACATGGCTGCTTCAGGTGCTTCGGAATCCTATGTGGCAAAATTACATGCTTCGTTATTAGGCTTTGATAAATTTTAATTTATTCCAAACCAAAAAATAATTAGGTTCGGATTACCATATATATGTTGATTATTTATGGTCATGTTGCATGTATTAATTGTATTTTAATATCATTCATTATTATAACTATTAAATTATATATATATATTTTTTAAAAGTTAATAACTTTTGTATTTTTTATCAGTTTTACATATGTAATATCAAATTAATCTTCTTTTGATGAGCTTCGATTTAACATCCATATTGTATGTATAAAAAAATAATTTATATATATCTTTATAACAATAATAAAATTATTGTTAATATTAATTAAAAAATAAAATTATTTATCAACTAATATATTTATATTTCAAGTAGTTATATGATATAAGTTATAAAAACTATTATAATATAACACATGTAAGTTATAAGTAACATATATAATTCTAAATATATAGTAATACATATTTTTTTTTAAAAAAAAAATAAACTAAATTTAATATAGTTTTCTCATTAATTTTAAAATTTAAAAATAATTTTTTAACAAGCACCCGTGTAATACACGGGTGTTGTACTAGTTATTCTTTAAAACTGGTAATTTTAGTATTGTTGGATTTTCAGTAAATGAAGATTCTATTATTCCACATGTTGAATTTTGTTGATTAAATTTACTAAAACTAATAATTTTGCATATTGTGTTATTATTATTATTATTATTATTATTATTATTATTATTATTATTATTATTATTATTATTATTATTATTACTCAATCTTTTAAATTTCTCTAACATAAATATTATTATTTTGTATGCATATATTTAATAATAACCGTTAAGTGAGTAATGTGAACTTACACATTTTGAACGCTAGTTGTAATTAGGCATAGATAGATTTTTTTAAAAAGTTATTTAGTATTTTTTGCAATAAAAATCTAATCACATAGAAAAGTTTAAATCAAATAATAAGAATTTCAATTAGATTTTTTTTTTTTTTTTTTTGTTATAGGAACCTTCCGGTTTCTGGATCCACAAGTGAACCATTGTTTAACAATGTAAAGGGCATCTTTTCACATAATTCGCTAAGGGCCTAATAATTTTCAGGAACAACTCTGCTTACAGAGTGTATCTACATCTGAGTCTAATGAAACTTAATTAGGTTGAGGTTGCGAAGCATATACGTTAGTGTATAGTCTATTTGACTAACTTAAAAATTTTTTATATTCAAATAAGCTTGATTTGATATTAAAAATTTCGAGTTTATCTCATATATGCTTCATCAGGTAGCTTTTCAAAAAGTCAATTAAAAATTTCATTTCAACTAGTTTATCAGCTAATTTTAATAAAGATTTTTATCTTATAAGCTAGATTTTCATTCATAAATCATAAGTTATCAGCTATAAGCTCGAAATTGTGTTAAAAATTATAAGCTATCTTATCACTTGAGTTTACCAAATATAAGCTTTGTAAGTGAGAGAAAAGCGTTTGGAAATACATTTCCCTCGTTCAATTCATTAATTTCAATTTATTCTCTTTTCTATCCTCACATCTTTCAATAATTTTTTAAATTTAATAATCAAATTATATAACAGTACATTTGTCTATAAAATATATGATTCATCCTCTTATAATATAAATTATTATTATACTATTTTCCTATCCTTTCGTAATAATTATTATTCTCAATGAAATATTATTATAACCGAATCAAATGAAAATTGCATGACCAGAAAAAGTTCAAATTGAAATTTAAGGTGTGTTTGTTTATAAATAAACTTAATCTATATTTAAAATCTGACTCAACATTAACATTAACTCCACAATCCTAAATATTATTAATATCCATCATATATATATATATATATATGTAGTGCTAAGCCTAAGTGGCGGTTCGCACATTTCGGAATCTTATGTGGCAAAATTTATAAGCTTTGTTGTTTGGCTTGGATGAATTTTAATTTATTTTCAATCCAAAAATAACTAGGCTTGATAAATGCATAAATATAATATCATTTCCTAGACGTGGTTTATAAGGTATATAATTTTTTTCCCAATCTTTCTTTTTCCTCAATTAATAAAGTTTTTAATTAATTATTTTTATATATAATATATCCAATTAATCATGTTTTGATGAGTTTTGATTTGATATCTATATTATACATACAAAATAAGTAAATAATTGTATTTATCTTTATAATTAAAATTAATTTACTTATTAATATTAATTAAAAAAGGTATTTAAACTTAATTCAAAGTTGGTATCTCATATAAATTAAGAAAATATAATATAAGATGGTAAATCGTGTAAGTGACAGTGTCATTTTAAATATAAATATTAATATATTTTTTCAAAAAAAATATTTAAGAATTAAAACAAATTTTGTTGTTATTATTATTTAATTTTAAAATAATTTTATTAAAAGGTACCCGTGTAGTACACAGTATTGTACAAGCAATTGATTAATATCAACAATCATTCTTACACACCACATCAACTTTAATTCACTATATATCCACTTACATAGTTTAAACTAATTATCACTAATTAAACTAATTATTTTAAAATAACTTCTAGTTAATAAAAAATACTCATTTTGAGCAGATATATTTGTAAGCACGCTCTTAAATGTGTTTTAGTGTACAACAAAGACTTCGAGTCAGGCTAGCGTTCTAAAGTACAAGAAAAAGAGAGATTGACACTTCACTGTAGATAATGTACACTAACACAAAGATTTCAAACTAAACTAAAAGGAATAGTAGAACTAGTATACAACTAGTGTTGTTAAATTAAACGAGTCTGCCTCTACTAGTTAAGACTTAAGTTCGACTCGAGTTTGAAGCCTTGACAAACCAAACTGAGCTAATTTGGTTAACAAGTCGAGCTTGAGTCGACTCTATAAGGCCCCAGAAGATAATTTTTATATAACTTTTTATAATTCGATCATTAAAGCTCGAGATATGCTCGTTATAGTTCGAGCTCGAAGCCTTAACAAACCGGGCTCGAACATGATTCTAGCTCGTTAAATATACACTCGAGCCTTTAGACAAGCTCGAACTTGATTTCTAGCTCGTTAAATATACAAATGGTCACAGTTTTGTCACCAAAATCCATATCTTATGCATTTATAACTTAGTTAAAATGAATATAAATGGTCTGGTTTATTTGTCAGGTTTACATGTTCCGAACGATGGATAAGATTATTTATGAAGAGGACAGTGGTTGAAAATTCTTTCAATTAAAAGAAACAGGAGTTACATCTCACGTGTTGCAGATAGAGAGGGTGCGTGAAGACGAAGAAACGACTAAACGGGCTAAATCTAACCAATCAATGACTACGTTAGAGATAATGAAAGGAAAAACTAATTCAAATGTTATCAGCTACTAAGAAGAATCCATGGCAATTGCTTCAGGTAGGGACCTCAACTTGATTGGCGACAAGCTCGACTTAACCCGCATTTCAGCCGAAGAAGACCACAAGAGCCTTTTCCCAATGGCCACACCGCTTTTGACTATTCCTAGAACCTTCCTCACCTCATTCGCAAGCTCGATAACATAGTCATCTTCATGACCTGTTGTTGTATATACATTCACAAAAAAGATCCCACCAAGATTATCTTTCAATAACCGCACAAGAAAAAACACGCTGAAAATCAAAAGCAAGAACATTTTACCAATATCAAACAAGGCCTTCTCTAGCAAGAAGAGGTAGTCCCTGTTATTGCCACAAGGACCAAACGCTGTTGCAATTTGCGCGGCCATGTCCTCCAAAGGGGCCGGACCCAAATAATACTTGTTTGAAATCTTGTCGGGTGTGGACGTGAACACAATCACACCAGTCACAAATGGCTTTTCCGAATCACCCTCCTGCAGCATAATCACAAGCGAACAATCTTATACAAGCTCAACTCAAAATCTTGGAGAGAATCTCATCTGCTCAATATAAAGAGGATCAAGAACTCACTTTGTAAAAGTCTACCAAAGTTTTCTGGTCATATTCACACTCTCGTCTCTCGAGATACGCCATGGCTGCTTTCTCTTTCTCCGACCCTCCACGCACGCAATAAGCGGCACCCCACTAAAAAATATTGAAATATGACGTTCGTAATTCAATTCGTACACCCAATACAACATCAATTCAGATTGTTTGCACAAAGTTATCGACAACTTAAGATTTATTCATCCAGATTTCCCCAAATACAATCACTTAACCCCTAAAGGCACGATTTAGGTCTAAAAAAGCTATCATCAAACTTACGCAGACAGATCCTTCATGTTCTTCCAAGGTGCAAGTTCTAGCAGGGAGCTCAGGCGTGCCTCGGTGGTCAATGCACGCTGAAACAGCAACCAAATCAAACAACATATAAGCAAATCGACAAATCGGGATGCTAGTAATTACCCTAATTTTCAGAAAAAAAGAATGAAATGCACAAAAGCGAAATCAAATTGTACCCAAATCAAAGACACGCCTGTAGTCCTTAATCAACCCAATCACCTTCTCGTCGACCTCGAAACCTGGGTTCCACACAAGCGAGCCATAGCCAAACACCCAGAAAACCATCTTCAATCCAATTAAATAGCCTCTGGTGTGCGGATCAAAAGACTGTGCGCTTGGGAAATTGCTCAATCAACAATGAAAGAACAGGGAATTTTCAAAGAGCAGAGAGAGATCGAACAGAGGATTTATTGTATTGTTTTCTCCCTTCTCTCTCTCCCTCTTGCTCTCCGTCTGCACAATTTATTTTATTATTATTTTTTTTTTTTATTCAGTGATTTTCACGAGAGGACGATCGAAAACCTTTGGTAATATGTGATATTT